TTAATATTGACAAGTTCTGCAGAAGCCAACAGGATTATTGGCGAAACGTCAGCAAGTTTGGTTTATAAAGAAGTGTGTTATGATATTGATAACATAATCTCTTGTGCTTGTAAGATATTGTGCATTTCTTCGTTTTTTTGATTTATTGCAATCCTACGTAGGTCCCATAATGTATTTTAAAAATGTTTTATTACATATTCCACAGTCACACAAACAAATCTTGCGTCCCACAAAAGTAATTACGATAATATCACAAGAAACAATGGCATAACATGATATTTCTTCGTATTTCTATTTGAAACAATTCTTTTATATATATTCTATGCTAATGTTATGAACTGTGAGTTTTCGAACTCGAGGTTTTTTCAATATTTTCTGGATAATGTCTTGACATACAGGGTGTTAAAAAAGTAGGCTGCCAAACTTTAACAAACGATTCCTTGTGTGATTTTAAGACAAAAATTTCATATAAAGATAGGTCCAAAAATGTACTTTTTTCAAGATACCTATAACTTTTATATTACTTTCGATATTTTTATCAAATTTGGTGTACATCTTTTAATCATTGAGAGGCGGTTTTTGACGCAAAAGCTTTATTTTTATCTTTACCAGTGGCGTCCGTACGCAGTTTGGACTGAATATTTATAAAGAAAAAAATGGCACGCCACTGCTTTTTCTGAACACAAAAATGAATTTTAAAATCTCCATTCAGTTTGGAGCAAATTTGGTACATGAACTTGCTTTCTTACGACGCACGGTTCTCGCTTTAAAAAATAAGTAAATACAAAAAATTAACTACTATTTATTATTAAATAATATTAAATAACTGTAAGCAAAATAAATAAGAGCAACTGCTGGAAATGACCTCCCCCGACTTCGATACATGCGTTTGTATGCCTTATTAGGGACTGGCGAACTCTTTCTAAAATACCAGGGGTGTTCTTATTAACTGTACAAGAGTCTTCTATCCGAGTTTTTAGATCTTCGTCACTTTGGATAGGTGTTGTGTACACTAATGTTTTTAAGTGTCCCCAGAGAAAGAAATCTCTTAGGTGGCCAAAAATGTGATCCAGCACGCCCAATCCAGTGATCAGTATAATTTTCATCTAAATACCATATAGCACGTCTGCTCTAGCGGGACATCCTCCAAAAGTTCAGGTAATACATGTTCAATAAATTGTCTGTACTGCTCACCAGTAGGTCTGCCAGGCAGAAAGTGAGGAACGATAAGGAATTCCCCTATAACTCTAATCCCAACATTTACCGAAAATTGCTCTTGGAAATGGTTTTCAATTCCGGCGTGAGTATTATTACCGGCCCACACATGATACGGAAGTTTATTATTGAGTTACGGGAAAAACATGCCTCGTCGGTAAAGAACACTTGTGATAAAAACCTTGGATTTTGGATTAACTTATTTTGTGTAAATCTACACAAAGCCACTCTTAGCGGAAAAACCCTTGGCAAAAGGGCTTGGACTCGTTGGATATGATAAAGGTAAAGTTGTTGATCTTTTAAAATTTGCCATTCTAATACATGGGTAGCGTTTAATTCGGTCGCAATTATTCTGGTGCTAGTTTCTGGGTTTTCATCAATAGCATTTATGACAGCTTCCTCTATCTTGGTCTCTCTGTAAGAGCAGTAGACCTCTTAAAACTACCTGTTTCAACAAGTTTCTGGTGAATATTAACAAAAAGTTGTCTGTCAGATAGAGGACGGTTAGGATATCTTTCTTGATACATCCGAGCATTACCATGAGCCACGTAGTGCATATCGGTCATTTCACGCTTTGGGAAGTGAACCATTTTCACCAAAACAAACAAATAATTTTTAAATAAACTTTCAAAAACCAGTAATAATGTGTTAAATAAATTTTTGAAAACCACCTGTAAACAAACCAAGTGCCTCGGAGAATATTGTTCGTAAAGATCTTTTGTTTACAGTTATTTAATAACATAATAAACGTCTTAATGTTAATAGTTAATTTTTGGATTTATTTATTTTTTTTAAGCGAAAACCGTCAGTCGTACGAAAGCCAGTTCACGCACCAAATTTGCTCCAAATTGAAAATAAAAAAGCTTTTGTGTTAAAAACCGCCTCTCAATAGTTAAAAGATGATCACCAAATTTCATAAAAATATCGAAAGTGATATAAAAGTTATTAAAGGAAAAACTAATTTTTTAGAAAATTTTAACACATTGTATCTTGAAAAATGTGCATTTTTGGACCTATGTTTATATGGAATGTTTGTCTTAGAATCACACAAGGAATCGTTTCTTAACGTTTGGCAGCGTACTTTTTTAACACCCTGGATATTGCTAATCCGTATTATTGATATACGCACTTATAGGATTATTTGTTGCCTAAACAATGCGTATTAAATTATTCAGTATCACAATGTCTCTCGTGTACGATGTAATTTAATATTATTTTGCGGTCGTTATTAGCGCAATGGTCGTTATTCCGTATTCAGAATATTATTAGTTAGTGAAAGTAGACCATATCGTAAATCTGAAAATTTTGCATAGCAACATTTAAAGAAATTTTCTTATGTAATTTGTTTGTTAGTTTCTAAAACTATGTAACGAAAATCCTTATTCCCGGACAATAAAATATTTATCACTGATTTTATTAACAGCATTCTACCTAAAACGGATACATATGCACAAGAAAATCCAATTTCATCGACACAAAGCGAATCTCATACCTTAGCGGTTGACCATGGTCACCAGATCTAGCCCCAAGCGACTTCCTTTTGTTTCCTCATATGAAAAATGCGCTCGGGAGACAAACACTCGAAAGTGGTTTCTTTATTTGGCACAAGGTATTCTTTAAAACAAATCAGAGGAAAATTAGTTTTCAGTTCGTCAAGTTAGAACGAAGCATTATATTAAAAATATCTTCTTTTTTATCTCTCTCAATTAAGGTGTGAAATAAATATTTCTCGGGGAAACCATTTTGAAGTGTCTATGTGGCCTTGGTCCAAAGGAATACTTATTTAAACAAATTTTCAAAATTCGAATAAATGCGGGAGATACGTATAAAACATGGAGAAGAATTTGTAAAACGATTCTTTAAATGAAAGACACATCGATTAATAAATAGCTTGTAACCCTTTTTCTGATTCAAGTACTTGCATGCACTGCAAGGAAAGTGATTCCGACAAGCGACTCCAATTTTAGAATTGGCACTGCGTCTCTCACTCTCTCTAAGCCTCAATATGAGAATAAATATTTAACTATATTCCCCATACTTTTGGTATTTCAAAGGAATCAAATTCAAAACAAGTTTGATGTTGTGTCGTAGTTGATAAGTGACATATCGGCCAGACCGCTTTGTTTAATCTTTCAATTTTGAGTGACCTCTCGCCATGTGGTCGCCCTTCGATTTGAACAGTGATTGACGTGACGAAAATTAAATACGTCATTTAACACACGGGTTAATGGCCTGCTATTGCGATAAACTGTTTTTAACTACCTACCTGTCAAAAAACATGCAGTCGCTCTTAACCCGTAATTAAAATAGAGAAAAGGCTCGCGTTGATGCCTAATACGGTTGAAGTTGACAGGTTTCTCAATTGAGTATTTTATGGTATGGAGTAGTAAAAATCTATTAAGGTGAAGGTGTGATAACACTTATAACATCGATCCGTGAATTTCTTGAACAACACTGTCGAATTTCTGGCATAGAATCTCCATTTTGGATTTCAAAGTTGTCCCCTCTCCATCACCGGTGGAGTGGGCGATCATGTTTGGTGTTATTGCGACCGTTTTTTATTCAATATTTGAAGGTTTTTTTTCTGATCAATTCTCGAGATATTGCACAATTTTCATTATTTTTGGAAATGATACTTAAATACGTATATATTAATAATAATAATAATAATTTTTATTTTATACCTTCAATAACAATCAATAACACAAAAAAAATCACAAATATACATTTAAAAAATAAAACCAGCGTTGCACAAAATCAGTGTATATGAGAATAAAATTAAGTGAAGTGAAATAATGTATTGGAAATCAAAATCAACAAAATACACTATAACTTTTCAAAGAAAGTTCCACAGATAACTGTAACACTATTTATAAAATTTCTGGATTCTTCAGAGCTCAACAGTTTCAATTAAGCTTTGAAGAAGCCGAGAGGATTATTGGCGAAACGTCAGCAAGTTCGATTCATCAACAACTCATGCAGGAGGAATCCAAACGTTTTGTAAATAGCGAAATACACTATAATTTAAACGGTTTAAATATCCCATGGAAACAAAGATTAAGATATTCACAAGATCAATGGATACATACATTAACCAGAATCGCGGATTTATGTTAAATATTTCAAATTCGGCAGATCTTTGAAAGTTTTGCTGCCACTATCGAGTATCCAAAAGAACTACTTTTTTGCTAGCCAATGGTCTTTGAACATGTCGCCATATAAGTTGACCTTCCCCTAGTCTCGTAATTCTTTTCCACTGACTTTAGTTAAATATTTTTTTATGTATATATCCCGGTATATATAACGGTAAAGCTGCCGCACATCTAGTAGTCTGTTTCTCCGAAACAGCGCATCATTAGAGTAACCGAAACCTTTTCTACATATTAATTTAATAAATCATGTTTGTAGTATATCTAGGTTGTTTAAGTGACATTCGGCAACTCCATCCCAAGCAACAATTGCGTAAGGCAGTTATCGCTGGACAAGTGCAATATATAAAATTATTCAATTTTGTAATGAATAAAAAATATTAGTTATTTAGAAAAATACGTATGTTTTCGAAATGAAACCCTTGAAATATATTACTGGTATTTTTTGACAAATTAAATTTTTTAAATGTTAGAAAAAATATTATTTTCGATACATCAATTTGGTATTTGCCTTTTTCGGAGTTTATTTTTAAGCTTAGCTTTTAAGTTATGAAAGGGGGCGGCAAAGTACATCTGACATTATTAAAAAATATTTTGTATTTTCTATCTGTGATGACGGTCAATAATTATTTTCAGATTACGGATTCGGCTTCTAAAACCTTTGTGTTTTCAACTAACTTCAGCTGGACAAGATTCGACAAATTATTGCTCTATGACGTAAATGGTGAGTATAATTGTTTAATGGAAAATGTAAAATAGGATTATTTAAGCCACTAGCATAATTGTGAAAACTTTATCCTCGTGAGTTATAGCCGCTATTCCATGCTCCTTAAATAGGCGCATAGTGTCCCTTATTTCCTTATTTAACACTTAAATAATATTACGGCATAAGCATACGAAAAACTTAACAATAATGATAGGCCAGAAATAACTAAAGATGGCAAAGTATTTTAATAGTTTGATAGAGGATATTCCATTTAATGTATTACACAAAAATAAGTTTTAAGGACCTCAAGTTGGCAAGAGTTCACAAAAACCCTCAGTGAGACAATAATTTAGGCGTTTCACTAAACTCTGAGTGAGTACATTTTTTAAATTATGTCCCGTTTTTTAACAGTTCTCAGCGTCGCAGTAAAATTAGAAGCAATTATCGACATTTCAGGAGGGAATTATAATAGACAAAAATATATACGGCAATACTTTTTATGGTCCCTATTATGGGAAACTTTGGAAATGGGTTTCTTTTTATTTTAAGAGACATTTAGTGAAACAAATTTTTCATAACTTGGACAAACGTTGAAGATGTGATATTCGCCCTCTGAGAATATTGTACTGTACCGTGTGCATCATGTAGATTTTTTATTGCATCTTCATTCTCATTAAATTGTATTATTAGTTTTTTTTTGAAGGAATTGCCCTGCGTGGCAAGCGCAGAGTAGTGTGGGACTCCCTGGTGAGTTGTGCAATCCAGCTTTGCCGTCTAAAACAACCCCAATCTACAGCATCGGTTGCTAGGGCCCTTAGCTGTCAATCTCTATTGCATTCATACATATATCCCTCATCTAATCACAGTATTTTCTATATGTTGATCCTTTTAAATATGTCATTGTGTGTTTAATCTGTTCCTTCTTCAAGTTGTCTTCAAAAATCGGTTTTAATTTATATTGTTGTCTTTGTAAACTATATATTGGACACTCAGTGATTATATGAACAACGGTCAAATGTACTCAAACATACCACACTTACGAGGAGGTTCACCGTTAAGGAGATGCTAGTGAGTAAGGGTTGTGTGTCCTATAGATACTCTAAAAGCTGTCACGGGGTAAAGTCTGAGTAGATCTGTGTACCCATACGTTGCCGTTACTTCTGGTATTGTTTTTCGAAGGTTTTATATTCAATCCAGATGTTTGCAGGTCCTGACGAATTTTTTCGTTAATCAATTTTCTGAATTGATTTTTTCTTGGCAACAAGTTGTTTGCAGTTGTCGCCTCATCATTATAATCTATCAGTTCTCTTGGTAGATTAACTTCAACTTTTTCCAGATACTCTCTATTATTATTATTATATTAATTTTTGTTATTAATATTATTGTGCCACCCTTCATGACGACAACCTTACCGAATTTGGTTCGGATCATTAGATGAAAATATGACTGAGCTTAAAAAACTGAAACAAAATTATTGAATTTTTTTTTAATGGTAACTGATTAGTAAATAATATACAGCGGTGTTCATTATAAATATATTCGAAAGAACTACTATAAAAATGATCCCATTAATATAAGAATAAACATTCTGTTGGCTTTTTATATGTACTATCATGTTCATATTTAACTATACACTCTCTACATTACAGGTTTATGTAATGAATCAAAGTAAGCTCGCATGTTTGACTTTGTGTAGTAGAATTACGTATGTCGATGAATTACATATTTGTTGAAGGATTTTTTAATCATTTAATTTTGAGTGCCACTGATGGAATAAACCTCTCGCCATGGGTTAATTGTCGGCTATTACGATAAACCGTTTTTAAGTAGCTGTACTTATAATTTTTAACTAATTTCCGATACTGTTACACAGGAAAACTCACGAGCGACAATTATCAAAACGCGGCGTATTTTTCTCTTCCTAATGTCGTTCGGTACTTATGAATGGCGACCTTGGAAAAAATGTTTCATTGTTTCGGCTAATTTTTGTGCCGACATACGTATTAGCTGATTCAGAAATAAATTGGCGCAACTGGAGATTGATAGCGGCCATTCTAAATGCTTGAATTAACAGCTTTGCCTGTAAACTCTAGCAAAGAAGGGCAAAATTTGGTCCGCAATGTTTGTTGATGTGGTGAAAAAAGTAGTGAAATTAAAGGTGACATTTTGTATGTTATACAGAACGCGATATGCGATAAATTTTCATTCTGGCATTACTCGATTAATGTGAAAGAAATAATAAATTTGTGTTAAAAAAAATCATTTACAAACTATTCAACTGTTATAAGTAAATCATTCAAAATTTTGTGCTTCATCAAACAGAATATCAATGATTTTTATGCTATTTGGTTCCATAAAAGATTTATATTCTAAGATATTGTATTTCTAGTGAGCAACCATGCTCATTGCTAACTTAATGGCTAACTAAATTAAACAATCTCAGGTATCAGTTATCAATGGATTCTTAAATATGATTGTTAACTTAGCAATAACATTTTTGCGCTTATTTTCATTACTAGTTGACAGTTTTGAAGTTTTCTTGAGTAATTTTGTGGTGAACTAAAAGCAGTTTTGTAACTTTTAAGACTAGAATTCCCCAGTTGCAAATTTTTATGTGCTTTTAAAAATGTGGAAATTCAGTAAATAGGAATATCGATATGTAAAAGACCATAGCAATGTTTTTGAAAATCCAAACGATAAATTTATTTATTTGGATAAACAAAGAGACCGTCAGAAATTTAATAGCGTAAATAAAAAGGGTAAAACGATATTTATGGCATTATTTCATTACTTTGTATATCTCCGTCCGTTTTTCTGGTCTTGGGGATTGTCAGATTACAGCATCCATTAAAATTAACAATTAGTCAATGTGCATTAAGCAGAATTATCAAAGAAGTCTCTTCCACAAATTTTCTTCTTTTTCCCGTAAACTTTTTTCATTCCTTCGTTCTCCACTCTCTGAATATAGAATGTTGCAGTATTTTTCGAGAGATTTAATCTCATTTTACGAAGCATTTTACTTACCGGCATAACAAATCAATGAATCTATGGTTATGTTCAATACAATGCAATCCGCTCATCGTGAGAAAATTGCATTCTTCTTCATAACATTCTTGTTTCATAACTGTTATAGTTGATTATCTAGAAAATTGTATCTTTTATTTGAAGTTTCATAGTTACCATAGATAATATAGGGGAGGTTTTTTCCCAATGTAGGATTATCTTATGGATACATACAGATAAATTTTACACACTACCCTGTACATTTTTCCACAGCCAAAGTAAATCAACTAAGAATCAATATCTTAATGAGAGAGTACCTATGTTACCTACCATTCATTTTTTCTGATAGCTATATACATTAAGATGTTAAAACATTTCTTTGCCTGTCCATTTCTTGCACATTGTTCGGGCTGCTTGCCCCATCTCAGCTTGGTCAGAATTCTCAAACGTTTTAGTGAATATTTCAGTCGTATGGGATACTTAACACATGCTCAAATCTTTAAATGACTTTTTTTTTAATTTAATTGCGTTTACGTTGCACACAAACATTTTATCTTAATTGCGATTCAGTTCTATTATTCTGTCGTTTAAAAAATAGAACTTTACTGTACAACGAATTTTTAGAACCACTCTGCATTATGGAAGTCTTTCTGACTCGTCCTACTTAAGTCGTAAATATCTTGATATATTTAACAGCGAAAAAAACGTTTGGTTGCATTAAAAGCCTGATTGAAGTTGATAAATTCATAATGCAACTTTCTTTCGTGCAAATTGTTGCAGCCAGAAACTACAAAGCTACAATATTCCTAAACAGAAGCAAGAAATAGCAGTGACATCAACAAAGACGAGTTTTGAAGCTATATCTTTATGCAACACTGTAATCTATCATTTCTATCATCTGCAAGTTTAAAAGAAGATCCAAAGATTTTCCAAAAGGTTCTCTCTAGGATGAAATGTAGTCGGACATAAAAGATCGCGGGATATATATGTGGTTTCCTCATACAACGAAAGTGTCATCAACTAGCTTCAACAGTGTTCAAACTTTCTTCTTACGTTTCTTCTTGTAGAGTGTATTAATGGTTGCTGCCCGGTTGACAGTTCAGTACTAGTTTCTTCTTTGTCCAAGTCCTCTAAGCAGTATATTTTGCCCTGAAGGATGAGTTGTAGATTTTTGTTTCGTGTTATATGGCCCAAGTTTTCTTGGTTTTCTTTCTTTTCTGGTTCCTGGTTCCTTTTCACAGGTAAGCCTTCATCATACTTCGAGGTTGGTAATCCGATCTATCCAAGATATACTCAATATCCTCCTGCAAAAGCTTCAAGTTTTCTAATCGATGCTTTAGTCCATGAAAGTATTTTGCGGCGTAATAGACTTATTTTCGTTGTTATTGGTAGATTACCGCAAAGTCTTTCAGAATGATCGCACTCCTTCCATTTGTTGTTGGTTTACTATTTAGCTTGCTGAAGGGGGTACGAGTTTTCCTAATTAACCTGTATCTTGTCTTGTTTAGGTTGAAGTCAAGGCCTTATTACTGGCTACACTCTGCTGTGCAGGTCATCAGTGTCTGTAACCCTTCCCCTAATGTTGTATTCTATTGAAGCTTGCTTACTGAAAATAAATAACAAAACCACAACAAATTTACACCTCAAGTGTGTAAATAATAATGAAAATTTTTAATTTGATTTCATCATTTATATAACGTTTTAGAAATAAAAACAAAAATATTAAATTATTCAATTTTGTAATATATCAAAAATATTAGTTGTTTAAATAAATACGTGTGCAATTACGTTTTCGAAATGAAACTCTTGAAAAACATTACTGGTTATTTTTGACAAATGATTTTTTTAAATGTTAGAAATCTTTTTATTTTCGATATATCGTTTTGGTGTTTGTTTGCCCAAATTCAAATTTTAAATATAAGAATATGTCATTAAGAACCCCCCGTACTCCCATTAATTATACAGGATAGTCCGTTATGAATGTACCGAAAAGCAACCCCAGTTCAAACTCTCGA